TTTCCTCGTGGGTTCCAACCCTTTGAGCGGATCGAATCCCAAAATAATATCTTGTTGCACCGAGAGGTACAACAAAATTGGTGGCAGCGGTGGAATCATCTGGTGAGACATCACCGAAAAAATCGGAGAATCCAAGAGAACCCGACGATCTTAGCCGCTAGAGAAGACGAAACAAGACCCGTGCAAGCCGCGCAGTGGCAACGGGCCGGAGAAAAATTAAATCTCCGATTACGATCTCTCAAGTAAGAGAAAATACGTAAAAATACACGGCGAGTGCATGCCGTAGCTAAGACTTATTAGTCTAGCAACAAAAAGTGAGTCGACAACACCACGCAGAGGTCGACGCCCGGAGCTACCTCGGTACCAAAGAAGGCTGCCAGGACCCGAGGCGTTACGAGGACCAACCACCAGCGACCTTGCATCGAGACGGTGTCAACGAAGGGAACAGCGCAACATCGACAGCTGACACGGACTACAGACTTCGCAAAACTCCAACATCCGAACAGCTGAGCGAGCCGAGCAGCGCAACGATGACGCGAGCGATTCTACTAATGTAAGTCGTATTCATGTTATGCGACAAGACCGTGTATGTCTGAAACGATAGACGCACAGGATACCGACCCGCGTAATCGTAGATTAATAATAGACACCGCCGAGCGAGCGAATAGCGACCCGCCGTTACACGTAACTAGTAGCGCGCGCGATAATATAACCAATAACTTAAACCAGGCGATTGAAAACGACATAAACTTACCCCCTCACGTGATAATAAATCGCGAATTTCAGTTAGATCTAAACGATTTTAACTTAATAAAACAAGACGCGACAATACGCGATAAAAATATAACCGAAACAGACGAGACTACTCAAAACAGCCGTGACATGACGACGCCGCGTACTCCACCCAGGGACCAAACCCCTGAACGCTTACTAATCTCAGGCGAAGATAACGTCCAAAACTCAATTAACCCGCAAAATCGCGGTACTCCGGAAAATAGGCATGGAAGAAGAGTGACCTTTCAATTAGACGGAGACGAAGACGACACGCAAGACTTAATGGATACGCGAAATTGCGACACTGAAGAAAGTAGGCGTGACAGAAGAACAACCTCTCAATCCGCCGATGATCCTTTACTATTGGAAATATTACATACGCTACAAGAATTACGCGTACAAAATGCAACTCCAAATCGAGGCGAGCTGACCACTCCCGACCGAAACAGAATTTCACGGACTTCCGACCAACAGACGGATTATTCGCTAATGCATATACCCCGCGAATCCGGAGGATCGCTTTGCTTTCTAACATTAAAAGAAGCACGCAACATGATCCCCGAAATTGATGGCAATTCACGAGATCGCGTACGAGAATTTTTAAAGGCATGTAAATACGCCATGCGACATACTCATCCCGCGGAAGAATCTACACTATTAGAAGCCGTATTATATACAAAATTCAAGAGAAAGGCTATGAAGGCATTCGAGAATAGAGATATCACTAGCTACGAACAGCTAAAAGACGAGCTAGAAACCGAGTATTTAAGCCGACGAAGCACCGCGCATTTACAGCTCGAATTCAATTCGTTAAAACAAAAGCCGACGGAAACCGCACAAGAATTCGGACGTCGAGTAGATAATCTAGCCATGGAACTATACGACTCCATGGAGGAAGAGAAAAGACATACCCCCAAGCAACAACGAGCCATCCTAGAGAATATTAGGGATCAGGCGCTATTGAATTACCAAATCGGGCTACGCGAAGAAATGAACACATTAGTGCGCTCTCAGCACTTCCGAACGCTTCAAGAGGCAATTACCGGAGCAAGTTCCGAAGAAAAAATAAAAGACCGACACCGCGCGTATCAACGCGACAAGAAAACGGACTCAAATCATTACTCCTCGCGAAATTTCAAAAACCCCGCACCCCAATGCGGTAAATGAGGAAAAACGGGCCACATCGGTCAAAATTGTCGGACAAGCCGATACGCGAATAAATTTTCCTTGCCTCGAGCCAAAAAGCCAGCAGTAATTAATACCGTCGAGAAATTTTGCACGTATTGCAAAAAGGCGGGACATAATCGTGAAGAGTGCTGGACACTTAACGGGCGACCCGACAAAAATACGCGACCACGCGCAAAACGTGAAATGGAGAACAAAACAAAGCGAGTAAACTCCGCCGTAAAGGTGAGAAATCAAAGGAGCAAGCGAAACAGCGACAACGAGGAAGCATCGTCTACTAGTAGCGAAGAAGAAGAAGGAGCGAAGACGCGAAGAACGCGACCGGCGATAGAGCATCAAATCACGCAAGTCACCGAACATCATGCGAATAGCGGTCTTAGACTAATAACGTTGCCGATAAAAGAAATAAAAAAGGGGCATATAAACCTATTATTTGATACCGGCGCTACACTAACGCTAATTAAAGTAGGAAATTTAAAAGGCAAAACGCCCATAACCGAAAAGCCAATGACTCTCACCGGAGTGACGGGCCATCAAATCAAAACCATCGGAAAAATAAAGGCAACCGTATTGATAGGAGACAAAGAAATAAAACACACCATGTACATCGTGAAGGACGACTTCCCTATCGACTATGCAGGAATACTGTGTATGGATTTCCTGCAAAAGCATAAAATTACAAGCGACCAAAAAAGCTACCTGCAAGTTGACGGAGTAAGGCTGAAACTCCATCCTTATAAAAAATTAACGCTGACACCTCGCAGCGAAACCATTATCCAAGCAGTAACCGATCAAAATCGCATAGGAATCGTAAAATCAGAAGAAACCGCGCCATGGGTTTTCATCGGGAGCTGCCTTGTCGAGCCCCACGGACACATGTGCCCCGTGAGCGTCATAAACACTACGGAGAATGAAGTAGAAATACAAGTACCGTATGTAAAAATTGAAGACTTAACAGAAGATTTTATTAATGAACAAAGCATTAACCACGCGACGAGCAACGATAAAATCGAGCCACCACGTGAAGAAAAAATCAAGAATCTACTAAGAATTACTCATTTAAATCAAGAAGAAAGAAAAACGCTATTACAGATATGCGAAGATTTCAACGACGTGTTCCACCTAGACGGAGAACCACTGACTCATACGACAAGGATAGCACACGAGATAACAACGCGAGCCGACACCGCGAGCGTGAACGTGCGTCCGTATCGTCTCCCCGAGAGACACCGAAGCGAAGTAAATAAGCAAATTCAAGAAATGCTAAAACATGAAATTATACGACCGAAACCGTTACGGGTTAAATCAAGAAGAAAAAAAAACGCTATTACAGATATGCGAAGATTTCAACGACGTGTTCCATCTAGACGGAGAACCACTGACTCATACGACAAGGATAGCACACGAGCCGACACCGCGAGCGTGAACGTGCGTCCGTATCGTCTCCCCGAGAAACACCGAAGCGAAGTAAATAAGCAAATTCAAGAAATGCTAAAACATGAAATTATACGACCGAGTAGTAGCCAATGGAATGCACCACTCTTAGTCATACCGAAAAAAGCTGACTTTAACGGAAAACCAAAATTACGGATCGTAATAGACTTTAAAAAATTGAACGATCTCACTATAGGAGACTCTCGTTTCCCCTTCCGAATATAACTGATATACTAGATCAGCTGGGGATCAGCTGGGGATCGCGAAATATTTTACAACTTTAGATCTCGCCTCAGGATATCACCAAATACCTATGGCCGAGCATGATAAACATAAAACTGCTTTTTCTACAGCCTACGGTCATTATGAATTTAACCGCATGCCGTTTGGATTAAAAAATGCGCCCGCGACATTTCAACGATTAATGAATACGATATTAATGGGCATGCAAGGACTAAAATACTTAGTATATTTAGATGACATCGTCATTTACGGACCAAGCTTAGAAGAACATAACAGACGATTAATCGACGTATTTAAAAGATTACGGAAAAATAATTTAAAATTACAACCTGACAAATGTGAATTTTTGCCAAAAGAAGTAGTCTATTTAGGACACATTATAACAGAAAATGGAATTTTACCGGATCCGAATAAATTAAAAGCCGTGAGTACATTTTCAGTACCAAAAAGGATAAAAGATATTCAGTCATTTATCGGATTAGCCGGATACTACCGAAAATTTATTGAAGATTTTTCTAAAATCGCTAAGCCTCTAACAAAATTAACAAAAAAGGACGTAAAATTTGTGTGGACCACCGAACAGCAAGCAGCGTTCGAGACTTTAAAAAATAAATTAATATCCGCACCTGTACTAATTTATCCGGACTTCACGGAAGAGTTCATTGTCACGACCGACGCGTCAGATTACGCCGTCGGCGCCGTTCTGTCTCAAGGTACGGTAGGTCAGGACCGACCGATAGCGTACGCCAGCCGCGTACTATCGCGAGCGGAGCAAAATTATAATACTACTGAAAAAGAATTACTTGCTATCGTTTGGGCAGTAAAACATTTTCGCCCTTACTTGTACGGAACCAAATTTAAAATAGTTACTGACCATAAACCATTAATATGTTATTTAACGTTAACGATCCCGGATCGAGACTCATCCGGTGGAGATTAAAATTAGAATAGTACGATTACGAGATAATGCACAAGGCCGGTAAAAGAAATACAAACGCCGACGCCTTAAGTAGAAATCCTATATGCAACATTAAGAAAGACGAAGAGAATGAAGAAGACAAGGAGAAGACAATGCGCGAATATACAGAAGAAGAGAAACAGCGGATATTATATGAATATCACGATTCACCGACAGGAGGACATCAAGGTGTGACACGCACACTAAATAGAATACGATTAACGCACAACTGGCGAGGCATCACAAGAGATGTCGAAAATTATATAAGCAAATGCGAGAATTGTCAGAAAAATAAATTAAGTCGGAAAACAAAAATGCCATTAGAAATTACGGACACCCCCATAAAACCTTTCGAGAAATGCGCACTCGATATCGTAGGACCACTAACGGTAACTACAGCAGGGGATAAATATATCCTCACCTTTCAGGATAATCTAACGAAATTTAGTAAAGCAATACCTATTGCAAACCAGGAAGCCGCAACAGTAGCAAAAGCGTTTGTAACGCGAATAATTGTTGAATACGGGATACCAGAAAAAATTTTAACCGATCAAGGTATAAACTTTGTAAGCGAAATGTTTAAAAATATTTGCAAATTATTAAAAATCGAGAAGATTCAAACAACCGCGTACCATCCAGAAAGCAACGGAGCATTAGAGCGTTCATACCGAACGCTAGCGGAATATCTTCGTCATTATATAAATGAAGAATAAGGTGATTGGGATGAGTGGCTACCATATGCGATGTTTACGTACAACACGACACCGCACACAGCTACAGGATACATACCAGGGAATGGAAAGTTACTTTTTAAAAGTAACTAGTTACAGTTACTCGTTACCGAGTAAAAAATGTAACTAGTTACAGTTACAGTTATCGCTTTTTAAAAGTAACTCGTTACAGTTACCGTTACTTGAAAAATAACTTTTCGTTACTTTTCCGTTACTTTTTTAAAATCAATTTAAAAATGTACTTTTGCATTTTTTTTTTTATGTAATACTGACAAATATATAGTTTTATTAAAAAAAAAAAAAAACAATGTAGAATGGCTCAAATAATAAATTAAATAAAAGTAAAATGAGAAGGGTTACGAGCCAAAAATGAAACAGTTTATTTCCGATAAGAACGACGATGACAATGTAATTAAATGTATAAATATATATTAGAACAATAACATGGATAAAACAAGATAAAAACAAACGACGTTTCCACACTTATTGTCATCGTCTTTTAAACTGTTTCGTTTTTGGGTTCGTAACCCTTCTCATTATACTATTATTAAATTTTTTTTAAACACAATTTTGTAATTCTAAAACCTATAAAATATGCAGCAAACTGAAATATTTGTATGTCCTATGTATTACATAGAAGATAGATGTGTAAAATAATTACTGAATCATGACGGCCGAATGTCTAAGGGCTTTCAAGTCTTATTGATAAGCGCTATAAATAGCATGTATCCAATCATCGAACCGTGTTCAATCGTGTGCAAAGTAACGACAAAAGTAACTGTAAATTTCGTTACCGTTACCCAAAAAATGTAACTCGTTACCATTACAGTTACCAAAAAAAGAAAGTAACGCAGTTACCAGTAAAGTTACCAAAAAAGTAACTTGTAACTGTAACTTCGTTACAAGTAACGAGTTACTTCCATTCCCTGATACATACCATTTGAATTAGTCTACGGACGCGAAGCTACCTTACCAACATCACTAACAACACCTCCAAAACCATCATATACTTATGATGACTATGCTCAAGAATTAAAAGAACGATTACGAGCAACGAATCAAATAGCCAGAGAACACATCAAGGAAGAAAAAATCAAGGCAAAAGAATATCACGATAAAAAAGCCAAAGAAATTAAATTCAAAATAGGGGACAAAGTACTTCTATACGACGAAACTCTCCGTCGCGGACGATCGAAAAAATTAGACGCGTTATGGACCGTACGTAATTTTACCGGACCATACGTAATTTTAGAGAAAAATTCCGACGTTAATTATACTATAAAAATTGCGCTTAAAAAATTACTAACGCACGTAAATCGCCTAAAGGCGTATATAGAAAATTAAAAAATTAAAAATAAAAAAGTAAAACAAAAAAGAAATTATAAATAATTAAATAAAGATAATAAAACTCACCAATAAAGAGGGATCCTATGAACAACAAGCCCAAAATGCACAATAATCCATGTGAAATAATCTAATATAAAATACACTTAACTAATAACTATGTACACCAGCACTAATAATAAAACACTAAAAATAAGCGATAAAACTAACACTAAAAGCTAATAACGAAATAAAAAATAAGTTTATTCGGCGGAAGTGCCGGGTTGTGGATCATCATTAAAACGACCACGACCATCAACGTCAATCAAAAGACGGCCTTCCCGTAATAGTCTACGAATATTGTCCATCATAGGTGCACCGTTACCCCGACCATGGGCCCCGGTACGCACTTCCGGAAAATAGTCACGCAAAAGTTCACCGCGACCGCGACCGCGGCCGCGACCACCCATACGGAGGAAACCCTCCTCAGCCAGTTCGGCAAATAATCCATAACGACCGCGGTTACGACCACGACCGCCTATAATTCGGAGAAGTTCCTCCCGACCTACTCCACCCTGATCCGCAGGATCCGGAACGTCCGGCTCCCAATCTACGGTAGCAGGCTCAACGTGGGCCTTAAAATCTGGAACAATTTTTCGGCACATGATCGCACAAAAAAACCAACGAATTGAAAGACACTTGCAACCAACTGAATGACACTTGCGAAGCGACTGACGAGACCGCACGCATATAAAAAACCTTCCCATGAAAATCTCCTGACGAAGACAGTAATAAAATATGATAACGCTAAGATATAAATGTAATCAGACGAAGCGAGAAGACACAGAACACATATAGGGAAAGGTGCATTAAATAAAAGCTAACCAACACTACTATTGCATTTTCAGAATCGCGCTATTCTTAGCACAAGCCTTCGCAGAAGAGGCGAAAAACGAAACACCCTACGAAATAGAAAATTTCACCAATCACCCAGGGATATATTTCGAGAAAATAGGAAACTTAGAATTAGTACAATCATCGTGGAAATTAGTTATACGAATCGATATTACCGCATTAACAAAACGATTAACACAATTGTATCAATATATACGAAAATCAAAAACTATGTGCCAACTTACTTCTAGTACAGCCAGAGACACTTGTGAAAACCTTAATTTTATAATTGACAAAGAATACAAACACGCGGACGAACTAATAACAAAAATAAGTGCTACAACTAGACAAACAAGAATACAAAAAAGAGGACTGATTGACGGAATAGGCACCGTCGCGAAAACTCTGTTCGGTACCATGGACGCTAATGACGACACGTTAGTATACGAACAGCTGACTATGTTACACGACGAACAACTAGTAACACAACACGCTTTGAAAAACCAAGTAAAAATACTACAAGCCACTATAGGACACATAGAAAACACTGAAAAAACATTACAAACAAACGAATACATTCTAGCTAACGCGACTAAAAAACTAAGAGGACAACTATTAGAAGACGAAAAACAAGACAGAGTACACGAACATTTTATTATAAGTAACGCAATATTAAACGACTTAATGCGAGATGCGGAAGATATCCTAGAATATCTAGCTTTTATAAAAACAGGAGTATTACATCCTAGATTGATACCTTTAAATAATATAATAGAAAATCTTAAAGAAGCAAATACGCAATTACCTGACGACCTTCATTTCCCTTTCAAAATTAATAACAACGAATGGCAAAAAATAGAAAGAATAATTACAATTAACGCATATTGCGACGCGAAATACATATTTACAATTTTGCAATTTTCTTTAATAACAATTCCAAAATACGAGTTAATAAACGTAATACCATTACCGGTAAATCATAATAAAAATGTATTTATATATTTAAAAATAAAAAACCCGTTAATTGCCGTATACACGGAAGGACGATCATATTTAATAATTAATAATAATAATCTAAAAAATTGTAAAACAATTTATAACAACTATATATGTAGCGAAAACTTTGAAATACGCCGCGCTAACTTAAATCCGACCTGCGAGATAAAAAAAATTTAGGAAATAAAGAATATGATAACAATTGCGAAATAGAAAATAAGATATCAAACAACACTGTATGGATACCACTAAATAATCCTCATTCGTGGTTATTTGCGACAACGAAAAAAGAACAAATTCTTATAAAATGTAAAGACCACGGACAAATAAAGGAAACAATTGAAAACACAAGAAAAATTTCCTTACAAGAAGATTGTAAATTAATAACGTCAGACACAACGCTACAGTCACAAAAAACATTACACGAGACAGTAATAGAATCATTCATGCCAGAATACAATATATCTTTCTTAAAAAACGAACAACAAACGAAGACTGACAGAAATGAACAAATAAAAATAAAAGAAGTCAATGTCAACTCAACAGAGCTAAAAGATTTCAAATTAAAATTAGATAAAATAAACGACAATATTGACGAAAATGAAAATCTCCAGTTCCGATTGGAACACTTTATTTCTCCAATGGCAACTAGCGGAATTGCTGTACTACTAGTATTAATAATCATTATAATAGGATATAATCTATATCCTACGAAAAAAGAAACGGAGTAAATACAACAAAAAGGAACGTGCAGACGAGGACATAAGCTTTGCTTTCGAACTTCCAAAGTCAATTTTAAAACGAAGTAAAAGCACACGTTTTTAATAATAATATGTTTAACGAAAAACTCCGTTCCTCCGTTTTTCTTTTCCAACGGGGGAAGGGTGTTATAGCCCGAATGGCTATCACTTATTTTATCAATTATTTCATTCAACCGGCATAGTAACCGGCACCGGAAATGCAAGTCTGCACATTTTTTAAATCGCGCGCGACAAAGCGTCGATCTAAGATCATAGCGCGCGAAATACCTAAATGCACTCGGCATGGCAACCAACAGCGGAAGTGCAAGATTGCACATTCTTTAATCACGCGATCGCACCTCTAGCGCGAGGAATATTACCATGTATGGTCCGATCGAAGACCAAAAGCGACATCATCAAACTCAATATAAGCGACCGCCTAAATGCCGAGCGCAGAGTCTTGACTTGAAATCTAAAGGTAACGATACGTTACGCGCGTCGCGAGAACCGAGTCAAGTAACATCCGCGATAACGTCGCCGACCGGTTTACTCATAAGTCACGAGCGATAACTTTAAAATATATTCATTTAACTAAACAACTGTATTAATTAAATAAAAGTTACAATTACTAAAAAGATTTGTAATCTTTAGTAATAAATAATTATATGAATAAATGGGTACAACATTTGTAATCAACTATCAAATTGTTAAATAAAAAGGGTTATTTTAAATAGAAGTGTATTGAAGTAAGTGTTTGTTCGACGACCTTTTCACTATCCTCGTCTTTCCTCGTGGGTTCCAACCCTTTGAGCGGATCGAATCCCAAAATAATATCTTGTTGCACCGAGAGGTACAACACTACCTTCCCATTTTGTTACTAATTTTACATCAACGCGATCGCGCACATTCTCCATGGTTTTACCAAACACGCGTTATTCATAAGTTTGTATAAATTCTTCTAAAAATAATTCTTTGCCAAAGTTCTAAATTTTGTATTTAATTCTATATAGTCACGAAGCCATGCAGATTGCGTGAATTGTAGTATACGGTGAACCTTTGCGATACGGAGGCCGTGCCGAGTACACTGCTGCAGATTGCGATAATGAATCACGTAACGCTGCTTATCGCATAACGTCGCGAGAAGCTTGTCATCGCGCTTGCCGGGCGGTTTCTCTCGCGTCGGACAGAACGGTAAGTCAGTGTGCGCGTCGTGGAGATGTTGCGGATATTCCAAGTCTACCTCGAGAATATAGCCTGTAGGTGAATCTAGCGCGATGGTCGAAAAGTCGAAGTTCTGCACGTCTTTGACCCATCGAAATTCGGCGTATGGCAATGGTTGACACATTGCCCAGCCATAGAGGTTGTTGACGTCATAGTACATTAAATATGATGACTGTTTCGATGAGTCGTACGACGGTATGTATTTGTTGTTGGCTCGCGCGTACCTGTTTGAGCACTGGCTCAGACCACCGCGTACACCGCGCTCGACAAACATGACCATGTCAATGTCTGTAAGTAATTCGAATTTTACACCTGTATGCTTCAACATGGCATCCCATGTGAAGCCGGGTAAGGTGTAATAGTACGCGGGGTCGAGCCCGTAACTCGTGACGCAACTGTCGCGGAAATTTTCAAAGACGTCGGCTAACAACAATACATCTGTTTTTAGATACAGATCGCTATATTCACCGAGCGTTTGGATGGAGAACCGCTGCCACACGTTGACAGCGTGCGCGTAATCGCTCTCGGATACCGTCAATGAACTGTAAAACGACTCGCGAGGCGGCAAGGATGATTCATTCAATTTTTCACTGCAGTCAATGTACTCGTACGAAAAGACACCTTTTCGAGTTAAAAGATTAAAATTTTCATCCGATAAATGAGAAAATTCGCGTCGCAGTACCCGCAGCTTATCTTTATTGAGAAAAGATGCTAATTTGTCTAAACCAGAAGC